GCACGCACACCGCATGCCCGAACAGCTAGTCAAGGGGCTTGAAAAATTAGCACAATGACTGTATCCTCTTAAACGTCCCTATGTGGCTATGCGACCCTCTGCCCCAAAACCCCTCTTACTCATAAATAACAGTCTCATAGCCCTAAACCCGTTAGAGCCTCCGCGATCCGGACCCTGTTTGCGAATGCAAAAGCAAGTGCTCCATTGACTTGGACCCGGCTCGCGCCTATTCCAGTAGTCTCCGCAACAGTTGTGATAGTACTTGCACCTGTTTAAGGAACTCACAATCAGAATTGGATTTCGGGGCTTTCGGGTGTCTTAATAACTACATAAGGGTTATAAGGGGCTATATAAGGGACGTAGTATGGTGTGGGGTAGGGAGCTGAACTTTTCCTCTGGCTTCCGCGTCGGGAAGGCAGAGTCTGGCTGGCTCCCAAAATTAAGGCTTCTCGGGTTTAGGGTTTAGGGTTTAAGGTCAAAAGAAAATGGGAAAGTCCTTCCAAATGCCATCCGGTCACTTGCTGTTGCACTGGCAGGGCCTGTCGCGCTTGAAATGCACATGTCTGGGTCTATGTCGGCAGGATTCGGACTGCTTATGTGAGAATTTTTGCCAACATTAACCAGATGGACCCCCTCAAAAGTAGCATGGAAACCCAAATACCCTCAAGGAGAATAGTCATTATTTGAGGGACCCTTTTCAGTGTCACGTGAATTGAGAGGAGAGCGACCGGAAGAGTGACTACTCCTAAGCCAGGACCTCGTTGGCGAGACCCGTGCTGCAAGAGGCTTGCACCACCCGAAAATTTCGGACTGCACTGAACCCATGAGGAAAAATCCTGAACCGTAGATCCCAGATACTTGGCCCTAAACCCTGAGGCCCGAAAGCTTAACTTTTGACCGTCCAACTGTGTAAGTTAGGTCGAAACCCTAAAGCTTGCTGAACCTGCCTGTATCGACTGTAACCATGGCAGCCGTAGGCAGCGCAGGAAGCCCAAGACGCGTTGCCGCCCTCCTGGAACGCATGTGGTAGTACAGGGACGGAAAGCCCTCTTTTTGTAAGGGCCTCACAGGGCTTCCTTGGAGGTCATGAGGCGTTATGGGGCGGTATAAGGTGCAACGTGGGGCTCTTATAGGAGTTCCTGTGGAGGTGGGCTTTGTAGGGTCTGTTTCTGGGGTTCTATACAGGAAGCTTTGGCACAGGTCGAGGCCTGGGTGCTCTGCAGCACCGAAGCCCCGAACCATGAAGCCCCAAAAGCCCAAACCGCTAGTACACCGAAACCCTTGAATCCCCAGCAACTCAAGCTCACAACCTCAAGGTCTTAAAGTGGCCCTCGGAGCTTGTGGGACTCCTGCGCGAGGGCCAGGTCGGCAGAAATGTTCCCCTGTAGCAGACAGGCGTTGAAAAGGCTTCGCGCAGTTTATACAACTGTTTGCGGGATTAGCATGGCTTTCCAAGCTGGGTTGCAGGTTGTATGGGTGGTACTAGGGGTCAGTGCTTGAGTTTACACCGACATGGAACTTCCTCTACGCTTGCCCTGAACTCTTGTTTGTAAAGCTTCTGCGGCTGACTGGTCTTGATTACAATGCCCACAGGTCTGGTAAAGTGTCCAAGTTCTTGAGTTCTCTGACTCAACACAGGAATAACGGCATAACGTCTTCGTGAATCTAGCGGGTTGTTTGATACATATATATATATATATATATACACATATTTACATTTGTCTAAAGTTATGTATTTATTTATGTCAGTATCTGTCTATATGTATGTATGTACCTATCTAGTATTAGTAAAGGTACAGGTATAGGTATACACAACAAGGCATGACCAATTTTTGCCACTCGCACTCGACGCAGTCGGGCGAGGCTTCTGAACATGCCGACAGACCATCGGTATGCTACAGGCACCCGGAAACGTTGAAAGCACACCGAATCATGAGCATGGTTCGTAGCGAATGGCGTGAGCCTGCCGATCCTCAACAGACGGACTCCATTGAGGTAATGCACTGTGGGGCATAAGTGGATTGATGGGACTCAGAACGTGAAACAGAGAGCCGTTAAAGATGTCAATCAACTGGTCGCTTCTCATGCGAACCCTGTTTACTGACAACGATTGCTAATCGCACGGAGGGAGGGGGGAAACCAGCCAGAAAGGCAATAACTGAACACTTCCCAGCTAGCATGTGCAGCAGGGGACACATGCACAAGAAGACTATCGAAGACTGCTTGCTGGGAGAAACGAAAACATAACTGGGCAAGCGACAGCAAAGGAGGAATCCATTGCGGCTCAACTGCAATTACATGTGATTTTCGTGTCCTTTAGCTTGCGTCCAGCAAGTTGATCTGTTTGCTTGTGAAAGCTGATGGATGCCTGTGACTTGAGGATGCTCGTTGTCTGAACACACAAATTCATGACAGACGTCGAAGCGCGCGCTCCGACGATGCTAGGATGAGGGTTTGGGGTTCCGGCTGCCTCCACAGATCCAGCACGGAGCTGCAAGGCATTCAGGGCGCATGTTTCACCTGAAACCGAGACTGAGACAGGCAAAAAGATTCTGTGCGCGCGCGCGCGTGCGTGTGTGTGTGTGTGTGTGTGTGTGTGTGTGTGTGTGTGTGTGTGTGTGTGTGTGTGTGTGTGTGTGTGTGTGTGTGTGTGTGTGTGTGTGTGTGTGTGTGTCTGTGTGTGTGTGTGTGTGTGTGTGTGTGTGTGTGTGTGTGTGTGTGTGTGTGTGTGTGTGTGTGTGTGTGTGTGTGTGTGTGTGTGTGTGTGTGTGTGTGTGTGGGATGTGGTGTGGGTGTGGGTGTGGTGGGTGGGTGTGTGGTGTGGTGTGGGTGTGTGTGTGTGTGTGTGTGTGGTGTGTGTGTGTGTGTGTGTGTGTGTGTGTGTGTGGTGTGTGTGTGTGTGGGTGGGTGGGGGTGGGGTGGGTGGGTGGGTGGGTGGGTGGGTGCGTGTGCGTGTGCGTGTGCGTGTGGGTGTGGGTGTGGTGTGGGTGTGTGGGTGTGTGGGTGTGTGGGTGTGTGGGTGTGTGGGTGTGTGGGTGTGTGGGTGTGTGGGTGTGTGGGTGTGTGGGTGTGTGGGTGTGTGGGTGTGTGGGTGTGTGTGTGTGGGTGTGGGGGTGTGTGGGTGTGTGGGTGTGTGGGTGTGTGGGTGTGTGGGTGTGTGGGTGTGTGGGTGTGTGGGTGTGTGGGTGTGTGGGTGTGTGGGTGTGTGGGTGTGTGTGTGTGTGTGTCTGTTTATGCAAATACACGCATATGTATGTATGTATATAATATATGTATACATATATATATATATATATACATATATACACTATATAGACACATCTGCATACATATGCAAAATATACGCACATATGTACACGCACACACGCAGGTGTTGTTCACGAGTTTGTGGACGTGTCTGTCCGTCTTTGTCTGTCTGTATGCCTGGTTGCCTGCCACCTTGCCTGTCTGTAGCATGGACGTGCGTGTGTCTGTGTGCGCGTCTGTGTCTGCATAGCAAATTTGGACTTCTTGTGGCTTGCGGGCTTTGGGTGGCAGCGCGGGAGGTTCAGGCATCTACTGGGCTCTGGCAAGGTTCAGGGGCTTTCGGCTTTTAGGGTAACGAGCTCGTCGCGAAGCCTAGATGGACAGTTGCTGACTTCATAACTTCGGAGTCCCTGTTTTGCGGAATTCCTGGGATGCCTAGGTGGAGCACAGGGTAAAACGAAGAAAGGCTCAAGAAAAGCCCAGAGCCCACGACAGGACATGGACTGCGCAGATATCTGGAGCTTGTCAAGGGTCTAGTTTTTAATCAAAAACCCCTTATTAAAGTCCCTCGTTCCCAACCGTCCGACGCTAAAGTCAGCTCTTCATTGGACCTTGACTTGCACTGAGACCCATCTGGAGATCATCCAGCTAAGAGCTAACTCAGGCCCCTGAGTTCCTTTCAAGGTAGTCTCCCTTGGATCGTCTGCTACTCTAACAAGTGAACCCCGACACCAAAATGCCAGGGATACGCCCTTAGTGGTACTGTAAGGGTACCATCCGAGACTCCGCTGCACTCATCGTCCGCGGTGAGGGAAGTCTCTGGCGACTCCACATCGGCGCTCCTTTGGCTGCGGCGGTGGAAGGGGGCATACTGCAAGGGTGACTGCAAGGGTTTGGTAATAGATTCTAGGAGCAGAGTAGCAGCAATTCCTACTCGCAAAAGACGAAAAGCCTCGTGAGGCCAGACTTTCAAGTTGCCTTGCTACCTCTACTGGCTCTTACAAGCCGCACGGCCAGACTATGCGACTCAATTCTGTGACTACGTCAGCACGGCCACCAGGGACGAAGGATAAGGCTCCCCTGCCAAGGAGCACGAGACCAAACACGCCCAGCAAGGCGCAGACTTTGGCAAAGCGCATGGCACCCGATCGAGATGCTTCTTCCGATAGTCGGAAGGCTAGCAAAACGCTGATTGCGAAGCTAGATAAAAGAGTGGCTGCGGCGACGCAGGCGGAGACTCCAAAATCATCAAGCATCACCAGCTCAGACAACCGCAGTGGTTGACTTCACAGAACATACTGAGAGGGTTCGTGCTGTAATTCAACCTTAATCCTGAATGACCGTGTTTTCCGCAGACGGACAAACCTGGCTTCTGGTAAAGCTCGCCAGCGTCCACAGATTCAGAAGCCGCCCCTATAGTTCTTAGCCGGAGCCGGGGAGGACTGGGAGACGACACAGATGTTTGCCGATCGCCAATGGAGTTTTTGATGCATCTATGGCCCGTTTTGGTTTCATGGCTGTAGGGTTGGGTGTATTTTCGTCTACCACATCGGTACCGCGAACCCTCCGAAGGATCTTCTTGTATGCGAATCAGGGAACCCTGGAGGTCGTGCCGAACCGAAGAAGACCACAGAAGGACCCATCGAGACCTATAGGCATCCAACAAGAAACCAAAAAAGTTCCGAAGGATCTGGGGGGCGGATGTTCAAAGTTGGAACTCCCAAATTTGCAAGAATAAAGTCGGCGAGACCGCCTCACCAGTCCAGCTTCAATCGGCTTAGCTGCTCCTGGGCCAGCTGCACCTGATGTCACGATGCCCTAGTTTAGCTTAGCGCTTCGAAGGTTTTGTTTACCGGTTTGCGGTGGTGCGCGCTGAGACCCTTTATAAGTAAGGCGGTGCCAACTTCAGACGACACAGTCGAAAAACAGCACCGTCAGCAGACCGCTTTTCAATTCAACCCTAAGCCAAGCCTCACAGAGCGCTCCTTCCAACAAATTCCGCATCCGGATTGCTACGAATGCGAAGGACTTGGGCATTGCAGTTCAGCTGTATAGCTTTGGGGGAAGGCTTCCGGCCCGAAAATCCAAACTTTAAGCTCTTCCTACCGGTAGCTACTAGCACACCGCCCTATGCTCCTAAGCCCTACCGTCCAAACCTTAGAGCGCCTTGAATCCTAAATTCCGGGCTGCAGCAAAGACTTATGCCAAACGAAGTTCGATATTTAGCATGTAAATGGGTTACACATTACAAGAAGTTTGCCTTAATTGTTGTATCTTCAATCGAGCCCTAAACTTTACACCTCAAAACCCGAAATGCCCCAAACTACTCGCCCAAACCTCGAACCGGAAACCTTTAAGCCGAGGGCCCCCCGGAACTCCCCTGTCAACTCCAAACCCAAAACTCTAAACCGAAAGCAGTAAACCGCCATGAAATCTGAGGGCGAGGCATCTTTCCGAGCCTCAAGCAGGCAGCTTTTGCTAAGAACTGAAGGGGGTGCGAAGGGCTCAATGTTTAGGGTCAGAGATTCAGGATTGCAGGTTCAGGGCTATTCTAGGGCTATAAGCCTAGAGTGCCTTGAAGTTGTAGAATTGTATGTTGCTTTGTGGGTTTGGCGCGACTTGTATCAGGATGCTGTAAAGGCCTTCCCACAGGTTATCAGGGCTTGCACAAGGGTCCGTGCAAGGGTGTTATAACATGTTTTCTTAAATTCTTTGTTGCAAAGGCTTGATAGTGCAATCGTGGATGTACAGTTCAAGGGCAATCGAGGCTTGAGGTGGTGCTCTGAACGTTGGAACCTCTCGTCTGGCTCGACTTTCTGAAACGGCGCAGGCTTGGAATTGCACGTGACTGTATACAGTGTTGTTTTTTCTCTCTCTCTCTCTCTCTCTCTTTCTTTCGCCAGGCTAGGGAGGCGAGCCCCCGCCCTTGGGGGCCGCCCGCTGTTGGCGGTACGCATGGTATTACATGCGACAGGCTAGGGTTACGGTCACCCCGACTGCACTGGACAACAACATAGGATGCTAGACATGTGTTGGGCAGGGTGTACACGTAACTCGTAGGTGACCTCCAGACGGTTCTTCCGCCCCAGATTGCGCACCCCCAAGGCAACTGCAAACAATCAGCCTACTAAGTTCCTCGCCTTGTGTGGTAACTGTTGCCATTCAGGAATGGCACAACGACTGGTCCCTACACATGGAGGCATTGTGGCTCATTAGGGGCCCTGTGTCATCTATGTGTCGATGCCAACGAATACCTAGTAGGAGCCTTGGGATGGTCCCCGCTAGCGAGCCTCTGTACGGGTTCTATGTGGCCTGTCGCCCCGATAACACAAACACACACAGATGGCCTGAGGGGTCCTATGCAGCATCACAATACGGGCGAGGTCCAGGGCGCGGCACTTTCGTAGGTACTACAGTTGGGCTCTCGCTCCGACAACACTGCAACACACACACACAGGGGGCCTAGGGTCTTTGCAACATCACAATACTGGCGAGATGTAAGGCCCCTAGGTAGCTGGACTTCTGCACTTTCGGTGGAAACAACAAGGGCCTGAGGGACTGATGCAGTATCACAGGACGTGCAGTGCCCAGTGGGTTTACAGTCGATGGGCGGGTTTCACTGGACCGCCCCGATAGCTATGCCCCTTTTAGGGTTAGTCACTGCTGTCAGGCTCAGGTGAGCTCCAGGGCGTGGGGCGATCAGTAGGGCTCGAGGTCACACGTCTCCGCCCCGTGTCCATCTGGTACTCCGCTCTCGCCTCGACCTCTGCTTCTTCTCGCTCCGCTTCGGCGTGTGCGGCGGCACTCTCGAAACCTTGCAGTGCTGCCATCTCCTGGTACGTCATCGCCCCGAAGTCTGGGGACGGGTCTTCGCCCTCTTCACATTGCTGTGCCAGGATCTCCGTGGCCGCGTCATCGCTGAGGTCGTGCGCGGCTTCTTGTGCCGCTTTGCCCCGCGTATTGTCGCTGTAGTTCCAGGTCTCGTTGTGCTTCGCGTTCTTCATCTCCTGGGTCATCGTACTGTGTTGGAGCTGCCGCGGCCATTCCTCTGACCCTGTCGCCCCTGATTCTTGGCTGTCTAGGGCAGGGACTGCGCCTCCGTGGTACCAGTCCAGCACCTCTGTCAGGGCCGCCCCGCATAGGCGGTACGCGTCGCAAGTTCTGGGTAGCCTGCTCCAGCGTCACGGCGTGGGTGTGGAACGGTGTGGCGGTTTCCGCCCCTCCTGTGTTCATGGTGATGACGTCGGCGGCGTGCACCCTGTTCTCGTTCCAGGTATCTTCGCCTTCTGCTACAGTGGCCAGCCGCGACCCTACCATGAGGTCGTTCTGGAGTTCCAGGAGGCCATGCACTCCTACGGCATCTACCCTACTGTAGGCGTTGTTGACTATGTGATGTACGCCCCGTGCTGCTGCAAGTCGAGTACCGGCCCTGCTTTGAAATACCCCGGGGTTGGATTCCATGGCTGTGGTGACCAGGTAGAGGGTACGTGCCAGCTGCTGCAGTATCATGTCTTGTGTGAGGTGAGTGTGTTCTCCCACCGTGGCTAGGGAGAGCAGGTTCGCCGCTGCTTCGCGGAACAGGCTGGTGATGCCCCGCGGTTTCTTGGTAGGTGAGGATTCGCTGCTGCTGCAGGGACGATCCTGCTGTTGTCTCCACGTTGTCAGCATGTTGAGCAGTATGACCACATGGTATGTAACTGCATGTACTTCCCCTCCGGCTGTCTCGAACAGGAGGCTGCGAAGTGTGCTAATGACCTGGTTTAGGTCTGGCCTACGTCCTCCACTCGAGCTGGAAGATGATGGTCGCCCCGGTCTTTGCATGAGGCTATGCTGGTCGGGTGCTTCTGTAGGGCCTGTGGTGGTGGTGGAGGTGGTTGTGGTGGGCGGTAGTGGCTGCAGTGTAAGGCGATTGCCAAGCGGGCGCCCATCTTGCAAGATGCCTAATAGTCCTGTCTGTGGCGGTGCGGGGCTTGCTGTGCTTGACGAGGGCTGCTCCGGTTGAGGGCGGTCAGCTGCAGCTTGGCTTCGGCGGAGTGTTCTGCCGTCGCTAAGTGGATGTGTGGTCGCAGGCATGTGCGTCGCGGCGGGTTGTGGGCCTGTGCCGGTCGTGTCTGCTGTGGCCGCTGCTGATGCTGTTGTGGCGGCGCTCGCCGCAGTGGCTGCTGACTCGTGATCGTCTTCGCTGTGTGGTAGTTGGTGGGGTGCTTGAGGGGTCTGTTGGGGCTGGCTTCAGCTTGGGTGTCGTCTGCTGTGGTGGCACTGGTGTCTGCCTGGTCCTGGCAGCCGGCTGCCTCGTTGAGGTGGACGTCTAGGGTCCATTCGCCATCTATCCAGGTAAATGTGAGGACGTCTCCCACACAGAGAATTGCCGCGTTGAATTCGTAATGCCCCGGGGCCGGGGCTGAGATAACCTCTGCCACATACATGTTAGGGTCTGGTCTGGTGAGGCTCAGGGTGGTGCCAATGGAGATCGGAGGGGCTTGGGTGGCGGCGATCCCCGGTGGGATGGTGCGTAGTGGCTCCACCTCTGTTCGAAGAGCTTCCAGCTCATGCTCGAGCTTGCGTCGGGGGTTGTTCTCAATGTTCACTAGCCACCATGGGGGGTCTTGCGGTGTGCCGGCTTCTTCGGCTATGATTCGGCCGATGGCCCACCTGTTGGTGGGTATGGTGGGTCTGTTGATGGACGGCGTGACTCGCCCCGGGTAGCGTGGTGGTTGGAGGGGCATGGGGTGGTGGCTGGGCCTGTCAGTGGAGCTGCTGGCACGTTCGGTGAGTGGCTGCTCTGGTGGTAGGTCCCACGGGGGGGGAGGGTGGTGCTCCTCGAGCCTGTGGAGGGTTGTGTCCCACTCTGCTCTTGCTGTGGTGGCGGTTGCGCTGCTGCTGCTGGGGTGCTGGGCTGCTGCAGGTGGCCGGTGGCTCCTTTCTGGGTGGTTGGGGACGGCCGGCTGGTTGCTGTACGGCCTCGTGGGAGGGAGTGGCATCTTGCTGTGGGCGCTGTTGCGTGGTCTGCTGCGGTGGTTGTGGTGGCGGTTGTTGTGGTGCTGGTGGTTGTCTGGGCTCAAGGTGTTTGTTCAACAGACTGGTAAGGTATGCACGCTCCTCAGGGGACACCTGTGGGATCTTCGTTGTTTTGTCTGGTGGTGCCAGGTCGGGCCGAAAGGCCGAGCCTCGTCCAGTGCCGCCCCGAGGCCAAAGGCCCAGTCGTTGAAGTTGGACCTTGACAGCCCGTTTGGTGGCGCGGTTGGTGCGACGCTTCTCACCTGTGCCTTCTCGGGACCGATGCACTGGGCGTGATTCCCCGGTCTCCTCAAGCTGTGGGAGTTCGGGTGCTGTTGCGTCCGCTGCGGCGTCTGGTGGGTCTGGCGAGGCTGGGGCTGCGTCAGGTGAAGTTGGCGGTTGCTCCGCCTGAGCTGTCGGCGGATGTTCCGCCCCGGGTGTGTCTTCTTGTGCGGTTTGGCATGTCTCGGCCTGGTTGGTGGGTTCTCTTGCTTCGGTGGCACGTGTTGTGGCAGTCGTAGCTGTCGAGAGAGTTGGGTTTGTGCGGTCAGTGGAGCTTGCTTGTGGCTCAGCACATTGGGATGTCCGTGGCGGTCCTGCTGAGGTGGGTGGCACTGCAGTGGCTGGGTTCGTTGAGTAGGTGGTTGAATGGCCCACTGTGTTGGTGCTAGGGCCTCCCAGAAGCGGCAGGAGCTCTCGCTCGATGTACGTGTCTGGCAGCTCTCCTGCTGTGAGCCAGTGCAGGTATTCTGCTTGGTGCATGTTGTCTAAAGGGGGTGCTCCTGGGGGTGGTCGTGGTCCATGTATGGGCATGCCTGTGGTGTCCAGTGGCGGTGTGTGTGTGGCCGTGGCAGTTGCTGTTGGTTCTGGAGGTGGTGGGTCGAAGGTCGCTCCTGTAGCTGTCGGGTCGTGCAAGGTCGCTCCGTCTGTGAGTGGTGGTGTTTGGGTCGCAGGGGTGGCTGCGGGTGTAGTGGCTGAAGTGTGCTCCGTGTTCACCGTGGAAGCTGCTGCTACCGTCTGCGTTTCTGCGTCAGCTTGGTCGGCGTACCACCCGCCGTCGTGCCAGGGGTCTGTCTCAGGGTCGTATGGGCGCGGGTAGTACGCTTGCCAGCGGCTTGTGCGTCTGGGCCACTGGTCCGGCTGCTGCTGTGCGGGCTGGGTTCCTGCGGTCTGGTGGGTTGCCTCCGGCGGTGGCCCCGACGCGCTGTCGGCAGTGGTGGCTTGCCCCAGTGTTGGTGGTATGCTGCCGGTGGCTTGTGTTGCTTCTGCTGCTGCCGTCGCTGCGGTGCTGGTCGGAGGGCTGAGTCGAACTGCTGTTGTTGGGACTGGGTCGTCTGTGTTGGTACCCGCGTCCCTTCGTGGTGGTGCTGCCCCGGGGTTGGGTCCTGCCGTGCTCGCCCCTAGCAGCAAGAGGTGACCCAGCCAAAACAAGGCCACAAGGCTACTGCATGCCATGAGTTTCGCCCCTCTAGGCATGTTGTGCCTCAGAAGTGCTATCTGTAGACTCAAGTGGCTGCGGCTCGGTGCGGAGCGGCGTGTTCGCGAAGTCCTGTAACCGAAGCTACCTGAACACCGAGCTTTGCAGAGCAGTACAGGTATCAGAGGTTGAGGTCGGGCTTTCCGTGGAGGTCCTGGGCATAGTTCGGGCAGGGCTTCGGGCATCAGGATTGCGGGCTCGTAGTAGTGGTACCGGTAGTAGACATCGAAGTCAAGCTGCTGGTAGAGGTCGAGGTAGGGCTCCAGGGCAACGAAGTTGTCGAGGCACTAGGGGGGAAACATTCTGGTACTGGATAATACTCGTGTATATAGAGGTGTTGTTGTTGGGATCGAACACGGATCATGTTGAACTGCACTGTGAGGGTTTCATCGTAACAAGGACATGCATTGTGACACTCTGGCAGTCAGCTGGCTACTGAGGCGAGCTTCGTTTTCACTCTGGCGTGCACAGGCTTAGGGTGTGGCCTGCACTCGCCCCGCTTTGAGTAGCAGGGGTCATCCGCTCGCTCACCCCTTGGGTGATACTGTATGGCGTACGAGGCTGAAAGTTGCGGACTGGCGTGAGGTTCGTGAGGCTGGCTTGTCTTCCGCTCGCCCACGGTGGGTCGTACTCTTCAACGTAGGTGTCCTGCAACGACTGCCACTGTTCCCTGTCTTGTGCTAGGGACATCCAATCGTATCCACCTACTTTGGCGATGCTTCGTTCCACGTCGAGGGCCGAGTTGAACCGAGATCCATGTGAGATCCCCGCTGGTTCAGCTTTTTCCTTCCACCACTTCAGATTTCTCCACCGCAACAGATCATAGGTGGGCCCCGGATGTCGAGCCGCATGTCCATGTAGCTTCCAGATCTGCTGTAGGGCATAAGTAGACCAGCGGATCTGGCCGCTTTGGTGCAGCACTATTCTGGCAGCACGCATCGTACGAACTTGCCACTGCGCCCATGTCTCGGTGGCGAGCCTTTTAGCGCCCAGCATGGTGCGCAGGCACCCCAGCTGGAACGAATTGGCTGCGCGCAACAGGCTGGCATTGTTCGGCCACGTCCCGCAGCCCCAAGTTGCTGAGTTCCGAACTAGCGTCGTGAGCAGGGTGAGTCTCGCCCCGATGGGCGTTGGGGCGCAAAGAAGCTTGCGGTGCGAGTGAAAAGCTCTCTCTCTCTCTCTCTCTCTCTCTCTCTCTCTCTCTCTCTCTCTCTCTCTCTCTCTCTCTCACTCACTCACACTCTCTCTCTCTCTCTCTCTCTCTCTGCCGTGCCATCATCAAGTGTCTCGCAATGCAAGGGCACGAAAAAGTTGGCCAGAATATCAGGAAGCATAGCGCGAACGCTGAACCTCCTTCATCCTTCGGGCCCACTGAGCTGGACAAGAACTTACCTCTACCACGACTTGTTGTTTTATTGAGCTGTTTTAGGATTTAGGGTTCAGGCTTAGGGGTTTAGGGCTACAAGGTAAAGCATATACTTATGCAAATGTCGGAGATACTCAGAAAATGATGAACATCTGCCACTGATGCTTCGTGTCGCGGTCTTTGTAGCAAGGGTCTTGCTTGCTATAGAGTCTGTGCTAGGTATCCTCTATGCTCGCAAACTCCCTGTGATACTATTGGATATTCGCTTTGAATGCTTGGCACTTACGGCGCATCTGGAGGCCTTTGGGAAAGGGATGAGGGCTCTCTACAGTGAGCAAATGTTGAAGCATGGAGCTCCTTTCGTCCTTTCGTGTGAGGAACTTCCGAACAGTCTGTTGCCCTAGGGCAAACGCGGCACTTCGGGCTTAGGGTGTCGAAGATTTCGTCAATCCGGACCGCGCACCTTTGATGTCGTGACGCAGTTTATCATAACCCGGCCCGAAACCCTCAACCGTGAACCTCTTCAACCTTTTAAAGAACTTTAAAACATGGAGCACGAAACCCTGTAAACACATTGACCATAAAGTCCTAAATTTAGACCCCCAAAGCGACCAAGAACCCTGTTCCCGGATGCCGAAATTTCGGCCTTCGCCCGGCGGTAGAAGATGTCGCAGTCGCGGTTGGAGCAAATCACGGGCTCAAGGAGACTTCCTGGCACATGCAATAAGGGTCTGAAAAGTTTATACAAGTAGTAAGATTCCCTTTTCGTGCCCGAACAATTCAATGACAATGTATCCCAGAACCCTATCTTGCAGAGTTTAGGGTGGAAGCTTGACCCTTCGGGCCACGCTACTGCGGTCCAGGCTTCGTTCTGAACCTGAGGGCTCAAAACCCTGAACCTCTAGACTCCGAAGGCTTTTCAATTGTCGCTCTTTTACGTAAGGCGGCACAGAGCACAAATTGCAAACAGGCTGTCAAGGTAGGCTTGGGGCTTGACTGGGTTTGGGCCGAAGGTTTTCGGATGTTACTGTTTGAGGGAGTATCAGGATATCGTTGGTTTTCGTGGAAGAGCGGCTGAAGGGTTTAAGGTTTTCCCACCTGCCCAACGAAGTGGTCAGCAGGGATATCCGTCCGAGCTCAAGAAGGGGGCAAGTCCCAGGGAATGCTGAGCTCCTCTTGATTGAAAGACCGACACCAGCGTGACTCAGTTAGGGGTTAGGTTTATAGGGTTTACCTTTTCTTATGGTTTGGGCCAACAGTGGTTGCAGCACTCCCACTCTACGGCAGCCCGGGCCATCCGCGGCCTTGCTCCGGCTTAGCGTGCGGGGTCACGGGGTTCGGTTCCAGCGTTTGGGGCTCAAGGACCGTAGAACGGCTGGTAGCAATATGCCATCGTAGTCCCTGTATCATGATACTATGATGCCTCCCCAAACTCTAAACCCTAACTCCTTGGCAGCGCTGGCATTGAGTCCACAAGCGATTGTACTCTTGCTCCTGCTCGGAGTGCATTAGGAGGGCTTGCAGCTTCCTGTACCCCATGTGTTGGGTACGCGTTTAGGTTTAGAGTCTAGGAGGTAGAGTTTGTCTGCTCTGCATAGGTTTTGGGAGGGCCCTTCTCGGGCAAGCAGAGACTGCAGAAAGATGGAGGTAATGTAGGCCTCTTTTGAACATGAACATGCAGAATGCCAAACCCTAAACCGTGGTGCGGGCTCTGGATCGCAGTTACATCTGCGTCGTCATGCGTCCGAAGCCGGGCAGGGTCGCAGAATACGCCAAATCCCGAGGCCCAAAACCCAGACCAAAACGGTCCACACCCGACCCCCATATTCTCCCTCAAGACGACCCAAAAACCGCAAGACATCACTTCCTGCACCCATAATCGAAATCCCCGCCAAACCTAAGCAAGCCAAAAGCGACCGACCCGAATCCTGAACCCGGGCTCGAAAAAGAACAGATTTACGGAGGAGCTTAAGCACTTCAGTGCGCCTTCTCTTGGAAGTCCTTCATCTGACTCACGACCACCTCGTGCAGGTGGAGTTTTGGGCCCAATACTTGTATTCTGTGACTTTTGGAAGGGGAATGGGACGAGGGTGGGGGAGGGGAGGGGGGCGTGTCTAGCATCGAGGCTGTTGAGGGAAGTTGCGGGAGTCGGACCGGACTCTTAGGAGTCTAGGGACATTGGTGTTTATGTAGTTTTTTACAAGATTATGGTGCTTACGGTTCAAGGCCTAGGAGATCAGTACTAGGCAAGTGGAGACTTCAAGTTCTTTGAATCAGCTGGAGTACTTACTGGACTCCATTCTGGAAGTTTCTTTTGGCTGGCGAATCCCATTGCATCACTGCTGTGAAACAACACACCATCCAGCTCGCAGGAGCCGGCGGGCTCATGGCTCCTAGCTCTCACGATCACAGCACGGGATTTTCAGTGTATAGAGCTAGATCGTCAGGACAGCACCTGGGCTTTATTCCACGCCCTTGAAACCTAAACGCCCGCCCAAGGACTCCGGAAAGCTATGCAACGCAGAGGCCTCGGATTTCACAGATTGACTTCAACGACCAGATCCTGAAGTTCCGAAGCCGAAGCTAAGCCCAGAACCAGGGTTTCGGCAAAACCCCCCATAAATCGAATGGCCTTTCAACGTGTCACGAACCACACGGCCAACGAGGAAGCTTCCACTGCGCAGACAGCAGTAACAACTCATGTTGGGAGTAATCGCAGCACCCCCATCAACCATGCATGACGAGAACGCTCGAAACAACTACAATACCAGAAACCCGAGATGTTTCCCCTATGTTCGGAAGCCCTGAGCCGTCGTGTGAAGGGACCTCCGCAGCCTTGTCCTTGGCACAGTGCTCGCAAAGCATGCCCTGCTTGATCACTGCCTGGCTCGTGCTGTAGCTGGTCGGGCGTCCATCGTTTCTGGCCTTTCTAGGACTATACTGAACTTAGAACCCTAACAAAAAATTATTCTTGCTGTTTCTTAGGGATTATAATAACCCAAAATTTAAAAATATTTCTAAGTACCCCTGAAGGATTGGAGCTTACAGACTTTGGAGCCCTGGGGCCTTTAGAGCTTTCGGAGTTTAGGGTGGAAGAGCCAAGGCTTAGTGTCTTAGAGCTTCAGGGATATAGGCCCTCCCCTATACTCCCTACATGCTGGGGGCGCCGGATCCTACAATGAAGGCGCCTCCTAGTGATGCAGCTCCTCGGCTGTTGCGGAGGAGATCGGCACACTTAGGGCTGGAGGGATGATCTTGTGGGGGACCCAGTCAGCACTGAAATGGGTACTACACGTGCGAGGCCGCAATCTACGGTTTTGTGTAACCACGAAGGCTCCACTCCTGACACCCATCTTCACCTCAAGCTCTAGACTCCTAAACTGAAGACCCTGAACTCCAGACACGAAAGCCTCCCAACTTTTCCAAAATCTGGGTCCTAGAACTTCAAACCCCAAACGAAAACCCAAGGCTCAAACACCTGGCTCGATCCGGGCCTTACAGCCTTTGCATCGCAGGCTCTTCGTGACAAATTTCGACAAAGCTCCGCCTGCAGGTTTGGGGTTTCAGGGGCTAGGGTTGTTGAGGACTTCGGTGCTCACACTCGGACGAGGCAGGCTGCGTTGCGCGGCCCTTTAGCAGGAAGTCATGCACATGCTTCCATCCGACCCAAGTCCAAGCATTGTTTTCTAGATGCCGATAGTAGTAGGACAGAAGATTGCATGCTCAGCGCAGGTCTCCGCCTTCTTGAAGGTGGGAAGACAGCATAAGTCCTTTTTAAATCCTTCTTCATTCCAGGGCCCGTCATGGCTTGTCAGCAGATCTTAAGAAAACACAGATCGGACCCTGCCCTTGAACCCGCCCCTGAACCTAACAATTCAAGATCACGTCACGAGGCCCGTAAACTCCCTAAAGCTCCACCCAAGGGGTTCTCCAAGCCCTGCAACCACGTAAGCCATATACTCTGGATTCACAGGCAAGCTGCACTTAACACCCCCCGCAACGAAGGGATCCCGCCGAGGCCTTTAAGGGTCGGCCTTTGATGCAAAGCCGAGGTTTGCGGACGAAACCTAAACCCGAGCGACGTAGGGGCCTTAAAGGCCTTCATCATTACAATAGGGTTGTTTGGCATCTCTTTGTCCTGATCAAGGAGCCCTAATATGGAATAATATCGCAGCTGCTCAGGCATCTATACTAGCCCTAAACCGAGATAGAGTCACATTCACAGCAGGAGAACTGCATCAAAAAGCTCCATAATGGCTATCGAAAGCCTTCATCCGCCTGAAAGAGGTTCCAAATCCTTCCCAGGTCTTGTTGTTGTTTGGCTTTAGGACCAAAACTGAAAAGAAACACAGATCATTATGCCCAAAGCGCGCATATAGGGCCTTGATTATTAGCTAAAACAGGATTCACAAGGTATATTCGGAGATGAGGGATTGGGACTCTGTATTGGGGTCTGGGGGACATGTATCCTTGAGCAAATATAGGTATATGCAGCCCAAATACCGGAACATTGGTACCACTGTTATTTGGGTTGGGGGGGGTACAATCTTACAATCGAGGATGAGCTGTTTATGTTGAGAACCAAAATACGGACTATTCCGGAGTATTCTGATTAAACTAGTCAGACCCCTACATTGCCTTCTTGCGTCGGTGCGTGAACCTTCCGGGTGTGGTCGCCGTTGAAGAGCCTCAGGTGCACCACCAGGTCCAAGAGCCCAGGATCTCAAAAGAATGAATAAGAGTAAGGCTCAGAACAAGAAAACAAAAACATACTACTCGCAATTATAGCTACGCTGAAACATGTTCTCGCAGCTGACGGTGCTACTCATTCCAAGCCTATGCCATAATTACTGCTCATAAGTATAATGACTCACACTGCTTGCATCTTCTCGATCTCCGCATTCTGGCGAATGTCTCTTGCATACAGTATTACAGTATCGGCATCCTGACTATCTTTCAGGAATGAGCAAGGCCTCTCCCAGTGCGCGACATCGCCTCGAAAACTTCTGAGCCGAAGAGCAGAGACTGTGCCTTGTCGTCGTTGCCTCAACTGACTTCGGGGTTTTACAGTTTGGAGGTTTCGGGGCTTGAGGATATTTGTTGCCTCCCAGCTCTACGCATGTAGGCGTTTGGCTTTCGGCAGGGTTTCCGCTTTAGAAGAGTTCGGGTTCTGCGTCCACGAGTATAAGATTTCGGGTCCAGGGCTTGGGGTTTAGGGATGGTTTAGGTTTGTCTAAGTGGATTCAGCCAGAAGGAAGCCCAGCAGCATGATACAACTTTCAAAGCCTCCATCCCAGACTCGTAGGAAAATACAGTAGTTAAAAGTTTCATTCTACACCGCGCATGTGCTTGTTCAGAAGAAGCTCTCCAGCCCTGAAGGATTAGAAGCACATCCTTCCCACACTGCTCTGATGAACATGGCTTTTGGGGCTAAGGGCTCGGAACTCCGAAGGCTCGTAGTCTCCAAGACTCCCACGCCGATCATGTGGATAATAGTAACACTTAAAACGAAACCAATCAAGTTTGTCCATGGCTTATTGAAGGAAAGAAGTAGGAAAACCCGACCTGCCATTACAAGCAAAGACAAGTATTAGGGTAACAGTACATGCTAAGAAGCATCATAGCCTTCATCGTCAATCATACTAAACCCTAAACCCTAAACCCTAAACCCTGTACTGCCAGGAGGCCCATGATAGGCCCGAAGATACGAAGTAAAGGCAGCTGCAACTGATGCTCGATGTAGTAGTTGGCATCGATGGACTTGTTGTTCCTTAAAGTCGCTATCCCAACAGAACACTGAACTGCATGCTTGCGCAGGCTCAAGTCCCGTCTCATTTGACACTCACACTCGGGCAAAGCCATTGCAAACAGGACAAGTTTCGGGTGGAAGGTGCGTACCAGGCGTTGGAGCTTAGGATTTAAGGGTCTGGGGGATGAAGCAGCCACTTTCAGGCGTGGCTGGCAAAAGCAACCAGCACGGCAAAAGCATCTCCTGCTCATCATCGCCCTCACTATTGTCCTCATGATCGGCTTCATCCAAGCAACCGCTACCGCCATCAACAGTGCAAGCGTCTCCTGCGCCGTCAACACCATGACTGCATCAGCACCATCTGCGGTCTGTGGACATCAATTGGCAGAGCCCCGACGCCTGTGACGCGTCGTTGCCTCTTCCTCCCTGCAACCCAAGCCAAACATCCCGCTCATGTGCTGCAAGCCCGAACTGAGCTTGAAAGCTCAACACTGAACCGTGTAGCATTCGTATGTGGGCCTAAGTGGCGGAAGTCTTAGAGCTGAGGTCCTATTGACCCAACCGTGAACCCTCAGCAGCAACCCCTCATCCCTGAACTGTTGAATACAGGAGCGCAGAGGCCCAAGCCCTGCCGCTGTGTAGTGTGATGGGGGGTTTCGGACATTCGAGTCTTCTGAACCGCTCTGAAACTTCTTTGCATCCAGGCCTGTTGAGGGTGTTCCCGGGACACCCCTAAGCCCCAAAACCCTTCTTGCCACTGGGCCTGGGCCTAGCCAGAACTAGCCCAAGACCTAGACCCCCACCCTTAGCCTTAGCCTTACCCCTCGACCCTCACCCTTAGCCTCAGCCCTAACCCCTGCAAGCCCAGGCTCTCGAGCGCGAAGAGGGGATCCTCGGAGCGCTCATAGGCCTGGCGCCCCCCCCGGAGCCCCAGGGAGTCGGTTTTTTTTTGGGGGGAAAGGTAAGTTATAGGAGTATTAAGCCCCCTGTATTACATAGTACCCTTATAGATCCCTTATAGTAACCCTTATAGAGGGTGGGAGGGGGTAGGGGTTCTTTGTGCTACGTCTTGGTGGTTTGAAGTGGGTGCTGCTGATTCAGGCTTTTCTCGGCGTGGCTAGTTGACTCCATCTTGCACATTATCTCGATATTGCAGCAGGACCATTATCCGAAGAACCGCATTATACCGCATTTATGATCAACTGTGAGTCAGCGTAGCAGCTTTCGCCGAAAGGCGGCAATTACTGAAGCAGGCAGCTCTGATGCCTTATTGGAGATAACGCCTGAAGCCTCGAAGACCGTAGTTAAGCCTATAGGGCGCTACAGGGTTTGGGGATGCATACTACGATGATTGCATTGAGGAACCTCAAAAATCATGTTCCTCCCGTATCCGTCATGGAACATGGGAATGGAGGGGAAGCTTGCCAACCGACAAGAAACCTAAATGTTGAGTTTGTATGATGAGCGGTAAACCACATCGGCATGCAGCCTTTGCATTCTTCGCCCCGGCACAGATGACATAGGGCACCTGAGGAAAGCGGAGTTGAACATGTCAACCCGAACCAGATCTGACCTGACCCTAGGCTTTGCGTGCATGGCTCCCCTTTTTGACTCAAGCTAGAGATAGCTAGAGAAGTTCACGAGCTGCAAGCATACAGCTAAGACATGCAAAGACTTGATTTTTGGCAGCCGTGGCTGGGCCTTCTCAGTTGGCGAAGACCACTCGTCTTCCACGAAAAGCGAGTAAAAAATACCGGAACTTACCGAGGCAAACGATAAACTCCACATTAGTGTTTTCAACAGAACCTACAAACAAGTAGGTTATGGAAGTTTCAGGATGTTTCAAGGTATTTGTTCAACCTCGGCACAGATTGTGACAGCGAAGACGCAGGAGCGCCTGCAAAGCCCCAAGCACCAAAGCTGTCCGGCCGGGAACAACACTGTGGGTGCCACGGTCATGTGCGACCAAGAAGCACGACATGAGGCTTGCATCGTAGTTGCTTGTGTCATAGTAATCATAATCATAATAGTAATAATAAGAATCATAATAATAATACTACTACTAATAATAATAATAATAAGGACGCAAAAAGGGACCCCGGTTGTCTGTTACTTTACGGGTTTTTGGTAGCGCTGCCAGCTGCACCCCTTCACCCTGAACTCTAAAACCACCAATGCGCATCCAAGCACGCGATCTCCACTTCCCGGTGCGGTCGTGGGATCCCGCCTCTGGCTAAGAGTCTCAGAACCAGAATCAGGAAACCATACAGCAAGACCGGTAAGAAAAACACCCACAGAACCAGATGAAACCACGATGTCGCAACTCGTTGCAAGACTTGCGACGACGCACACACACACACAGACAATCATCCTGGGCTTTACAACAACTTTCTGCGAGAAGCGTGCCGATCCGCTACCGCCTGTGCCGAAAGCGTGTTTGGTAGCGGATGCCTCCAACCAAACTGACCGAAATCTACAGCACCAAAGGAAACAGCAGCACAACCCAAACCGAACGAGCCGAACCGCAATACCCATGGTCAATGCTTCTCGAGATGAGGGTCTTTCTAAAGCGCTTCTGGCTTGTCTCGGTCTGCCTCATGACGGCAATAGTTAGTATCAAAAGAACATCTAGTGTCCACAGGCGACACAGTTGCTGTATTATCTTAAACCCCAAACCCAAAATTCAACGAGCCCTAAATCTATATCAAGCGCAGAGATGGCTGGAGTTAGACCTGCATCGTTTTGGCACAGGAGTCCTTTCTGCGGGGGCTTATTCGAGCATTTCGAACTTGAAGAGGATTGTAATCGGGTTGACACTTGGGGCCTAGAAAGGGGTCTAGACCCAACCCTTCTTTCTAAAGCTGCTTGGAGAACAAGTGCAAGCCCTGCTGAAAAAGACCATAACCGTAGACCGAGGCGGCCACTTTCGCATCCGCTCCGCCAGCTCCACATGTGCCTGCTTCGCGCTGTAGTCCTGCCAGTGCTTTTGGAGGTTCGGGGTCGGGAGCATGGGGGTTTCGACTCGCACACTCGCTCGACTCAGGCACGGCTTTGTCAGGTGAGGTTGCTACCGTTACTACCAGGACTTCGGTCAGCCAGCAGGGCGGGCACATGACGACAAAGCAGAATACAACAAGCATGGAAGGGCTTACGGCTTGGGTTTCTGGGTTCCCTTGTGTTCTCGGAGTGAGAATTTCTCATGAAACCAGAAGTGGAAGGCCCGAAACACGACACGCTGCATGCGAGGCCCGGGGCCCGGGTCCTCAGCGTGAGCGCCCTTGCCCAAGGACCTCAAGCCGCTACATGAGAGGTTCGGGCTTCGAGCTCGATGAATATGGTATAAGTAAGTGCCCGTAGGAATGCAAACCAAACGAAACTATGGAGTCTATGGAGGCTTATTGACGGGCTCTAGACTGTAAGTGTACTAGAGAGCCCTGGGAACCCACTATGCCATTATTCAGCCCCCCTGCTATTAAATGCCGAACCCTCAACATCTAAATCTAAAAACTTGTAAAAGCCAACAGCTCTTAACCATTCCGAAGGCGACAACAACGCAGAACGATCCGAGTCTTTATCTTCGAACTCGACCCATATGCTATAAACCACAGCCTCCGAACGCAATTGATCAAGGAGCTTCGTGATCACCAAGAGGGACAAGTCAATCTTGTTCTGCAGGAGGTCGGAGACCTTTGACATGCTGCTGGCACACGCTTGCAGTTTAGGGTTCACCTTAATACAGACACCCACCCTCCCTAGCCTAGAAGTCTAACATGCCTTGCCCTCCCTCCCTCCCTGACAGGGACGCTGATCCCCCCAAGGCGTTGGCCGCTTTCTGCACAAGCTCAATGGCCTGGCTGTGCAGAGGATGAGGCGAAGGTTCGGGGCAAAGGGTTCAGCGAATCGGGGCAAGAGAACCGGGAGGCTGAAGGTTGAAGATCGCACCCTTGCACAAGCAGGCACGGATACAGGCGAGGGGCCCATCTACGACGGCTGGCTGCGAAATCGGAATTCCACCCCAAGGCAAGCCCACCCCCAGAACACGCAGGATAGAACCCAAATCCACAAACCCACCAATACACTGCTCAGTCGCCTTACTATGGAAACGGGGCTTATAGATGCATGTCTGCACTGCACAGAGACGTCGAACAACTAAATGCCAGAATCTGCAACGAAGCGTTGCCTCCACACGCATCGGGAATGGCAAGACACACATGTGGCGACCTTGTACGGACCATCAAGGGAGGTGCAACTCCGTACGGAGACGTGAAACATAACGAAATAGATTGATCTCAGCGCACTTGACTGATTTCAGGTTCGGAAATGTTGTCAATCACAAGCGAGCCATCTGCCCGTGCAGACCGCCGCTCAAGCGTTGATGACCTATTCGAGGTCGACTTCGAGTCGGCTGTAGTCGGCTTTCAGTCCCACTCTGGCATCCAACGCCCGGTGCAGCCGCTGCACAGAGTCAGAACTGATGTCGTTGTAACGCAAGTCGACTGTCTCCAGGCTTGCTGGAAGCCTTCCCCTGAAGGCCTCTTCGAGGATATTTGCCTCAGCATCTGTGAGGCAGTTATCACTCAAATCCAAGACATTCAGCTTGGATCTGTCGATGCCGTGCATTGCAGTCTTGATGATTTCGCTGGTAAACGTGCAGCGGTGGAAGACCAACTCCACAACGCCGCCCAAACCGTGCACCAAATCTCCCATAATCTTTACGTCCAAGTCGCAGTTGATCAAAGTGAGCTCGTGCAATTGATCGAACTTGGGCAGGGATTCTGCCAAAAAGCGCATTTGCTTAATTGGCAGTTTGGCTTTTGTCAAGCTTTGACAATTCTTGGCCATCTCCTCGAAGACCTCCCGCTGCAGCCTCACGACAGATTCAAGATCATCCGTGTGAGTGAACTTCAGCTGATCCTTCTTGACCAGGTCTTCGAACTCTTCGGGAAGCATCGGTGCCAGGCCTGTCTTGGCCTCGGGTATCCCTCGCTCATCGACAGGCACAGGCAAGAGCTGAGATGGTTTACTACCACAAGCTGACCATTGACATTCGGCCACGCACCAGCCTCGCTCGTTGTAAGGTGTAGTGTTGTGCCGGAACTCTGAAATCTTCCTCGCGTGCACCTCGTCTTGTGTGTCGTCATATACACGGATTGTATCGTTCTCACGAGCCTCCCGACGGTCTTCACTCGCGAAACCCTCGATACGAAGGACTTTCGTCGCTTCACTTGCGTAGAGCAGGTGCATGTTCTGCATGCATAGCCGGAACTTTTTGTCCTGCTCAGGGTTTCGTACGTGTTGGTTCAGAGAGAGTTGGTCGTAGAAGAATGCCGCGTTGTGTTTGCTGAACGTTTCGACATATTCGGCGAGAAGGTCGCGCTGATGCCCATATGGATCGGCATTCTCTCGACTTTCCCACACATGAGATACAGCAAACCAAGTCTCAGCCGTGTCCGGGTCCTCAACAAACGCGTGTTCCGGCGTTTCCTGACGCCTCGTCAATGGGATGTTCATCCTGCTTTGCTCAACGAAAAAGCCTCCTCGGACCAGTTTAACATCGGATTCACGCATGTACGTCAGCAAGGCGTCTCGATGTTCATTTTGCGGGGCTGGCCGCGGCACAACAGTCGCTGAATGCTGCTCTGCAGAAGGAAAGCTAGGCTTCAAAGGTGCTGGAGCCACACGGGACTGAGCCTGTCGCCGGGCCTTGATAGCAACAGCAGCATAGACAAGAATGCCGCAGCAACTCAACACAACAAGTGTCAAAGCAACCGCAACCAAGATCAAAAAAGGATCGTCGGTTGTGACCTCCCTCGTCGAAGTCTGCGTGGAAGTGTGGGTGGAGGTGGAAGTGAAGGTAGAACTGGTGGTCGCCGTCTTGCTTGCCGCAGAGGAGGTGGAGGTGCAGGTGAAGGTAAAGCTGGTGGTGATCGTCTGGCTTTCACTTGTGGTGGTAGAGGCGGAACTGGTGGTCGAGGTGGTAGTCACTGGCTCGTAGCGATGAAGGTCGTTAAGATAACTCCCATCATTGCCCCCGAAGACGTAGAGCCCGTTATCGGTGCGGCTCCATACCATTCCGTGGCCGTATCGTGCTGTCGGCAATGTGCCGCCCGGGCCCATTTCTGACCACACGTCTTCTCCCGGGTCATATCGGTGAAGGTCGTTCAAATAGCCGCTGTAGCCAGAGCCTCCAAAGATGTAGACCCCATTATCCGCGTGGCACCATGCCATCCCCAGCCACTGCCGCGCCTCGGGTGCGATTCCGCCAGGGCTCAATGCTGTCCAGGCATCAGCGGAGATGGTGTACCGATACAAGTCGTTCAAATAGCCGGTCGCATTTTCGCCACCGAAGACGTAGAGCTCGTTGTCGATCTGGCTAAAGGCCATTCCGTGCCCGTTCCGTGCAGAGGGTATGGAGCCGCCAGGGCTCAGCTGCGTCCAGCTATTCGCCGAGATGCTGTACCGGTACAGGTCGTTCAAACTTCTGATCGGGCTATCGCCCCAACCGCCAAAGACATAAAGCCCGTCAGTGGTCTGGCTATATACCATTCCATGCGCTTGACGCGTGGAGGGCACGGTGCCGCCAGGGGTCAGCTGCGTCCAAGAATTCGCCGAGACGCTATACCGGTGCAAGTCATTCAATTGGCTGACGGCATCGCCGCCGAAGACATAGAGCTCATCGTCGGTGTAGCTCCACGTCATTCCCGGAACGGATCGAGCGGACGGCACGGAGCCACCCGGACTCAGTTCCGTCCAGGAGTTCGCCAAGATGCTATACCGGTGCAAGTCCCTCAGCCGGCTGGTCCCGTCAAACCCGCCGAAGACGTAGAACTGGTTGCCGGACGCGGGGGCCATGCCGGGATATGTCCGTGCATTGAGCACAGAGCCACTTGGGCTTAGCTGCGTCCAGCTGTTGACCTGTGCATCAGGCGCGGCGAAGAGCGTGACAAGCACCATCTCATGCATGATGCAGACCCTCATAATCGTTGTGATGCTGCGGCTGCGCGGTCTGCTTCAGCGAAACTCTGGCAGACCCTCCGGGTCGTCGAAGAAGAACTACGTTTCCACGGAAGGAGCCGTCGCTGCTTGAGCCATCTTGGATTTGAGCGTTTTGCATGCATTCTGCTATACCTCTGACAGGTTACGACGGTTACGAAATGCCAGCAAAGACCACAAGTTGAGCCCTAGACCAGCCCACCTTGGGAACTGACTTGTCGATCAGGATCGTGCGCAGGGACATGTCCACCAGGTGTCGGGCCAAACCACCTTGCTTTTGGGCAGTTGGGCCTCAAGCATGCTAATACTAATGCATCTGTAAAGGCCACTCTGAAAAGTTGGAACCCATTCAATGCATCGCAAAACTGCTTGGTCAAGCAGCGTCCAGTGCTTCTTGTGGAATTTATTTCAGCGCTCATTCGATGTTCACGTAGGTGACAGGGTGAATTTCAGCGCTCATTCGATGTTCACGTAGGTGACTATCGGCATCCATACTACGTCTTGTCACAGGTCACTGCCGGTGCATGGGCTGATTCGACTCGTCGCAGAGGCTAAAACCAGAAATATGGCAGCAAAGAAGCCAGCGGTAGAAATACTGCTGGTAGTTTTACACGTCACAGTTGCTGCGAAGACAGTTCCAAACGAAACAAGTTCGACTGCTCAACGGACAAGAAGTTGGGTCGGACATGCTCATCAAGCAGGCAGCTTAAACATTTTCGAACCCTGCAGACTTTAGTCTGTACGGCTATATAATTCTGTCCTTGTCATTTACCACGGCTGCTGCCACCATCACTTTCACGCTGATGCTGACCCCTAGATTGAGGACGATACGGGCGATGAACATAACTATGGTTCACATTTTACCGTCGCTGCCATCTCCTGTAATTGCCACTGTGGTGGTGGCAGCGGTGGGGTTTTGACTATTGCTTTCTGCCGCTGCGACTTTTGTTCGCAAAGCTCTCTCTTCTAACTAACCTTCATGACTACGTGACGGCTTGCGACACGGGGCAGTTGTCGCGGCGGACCGTCTCGATGCCCTTGGCATCCAGCTTGTCGTACCTGCAGAACTTCTCGAGCTTCAAACATTCGAGCCCTCAGAGTCGAAGCCACCAAACCTATATTTACATGAAGAAGGCCATAGCTTAATGTACAGCTTGCTCTTCAGTCCCTTTACCCTGAGCCCTGCTCTTCAAAAGCATCCACGGTACTTCTCCGGGTTCGTCCAGTACAGGCCAGCGTAGCGCCTTTGGCCCACGAGCGCCGGTATACTGTTTTTGTTTCTCACTTGGCGTACGCTAGAAACGGGGTGTTGGGTTTAGGGTACTCTGTTACATCCTGCGGTTTGGGGGTGCGTGAGTCGAGCATTTCCCACCCACCTATAGTATAGCTGACTGGGTCGCACCGAATGGAAAAGGACAACACGACCTCATCGTAGTTCGAACAAGGACGTTAACAAGTTAAGGGCCACGGTCGGATCATGTTTTGGGGAGGCGGACTTCCGAGACTTCTGTCCCTAGCGAAGGGCGGATACGTTGCGGGACGTAACGATGAACAGTCCAGCTGATCCTCAAAACACCAAGCCCTAAATATCCGTTAAACCCCACACCTCAAATTTCAAACCCAAGCAACCTTTCGCGGTCTAGGGTATTGGCATCGGTCTATGGAAGCAGTGATTCGAATTGGGGTGGGATTCGCATGCGCAGTATGCACAACGACACGACATCGCTGGCCTTCGGATGCCGCGGCAATATCAACGCGATTCGGGCACAGGCCAGAGGTGGTGTCGCAAGTAGGGCCGGCCAGAAAGGGCGATGGCTTCGAAGCAAAGCTACATGTTCTAGCACGTGTCTTCGGGTTCTAAGCTTGCAGGCTCCTTTGCGAGGGTCTTGAAGCCTGCGTTGCTGGAAAGGCCGATTTGGGAGTAACGGTCTGAGGCTGGCACTTGCAGTCCTAAATCCTGACACCCTAAACCCCAAGGCTTGCGGGGCAACGACCCTTACAGACCTCTCAAAGGAACAGTGTGGGGTTTAGGGTTAAGCGGAACTGCCCGAAACCCACGGACTGGCATCGTGGCCGAGGTACTTCTTGTTCATGAGCAGGTATGGGCAGTACACCTTCTCAAACCTGAGCCAGCTCAACGATTTAGAAGGCCTAGCTTCGGGTTAAAGCTGTTGGAAATTGTGGAGGTTGTGACTAGTTGTGTCGCTACTGCTTGGTCATGGTCTGCTTGTTTAATTCTCCGGTCTGTACCCAAACTTTCCGCTTGTCACCCAAATCAGATCAGCTACCAAACAACCACACCTTCCCAATCCCTCCAAACCAAAACCTTACACAAACCACTTCCTGAATCCCGAGAGGACAAATCCCTGCAGCTCAGGTGCAAGCCCCGATCGACACAGCCATGCACAACAAACACCACGGCAGCCAAACCCTCATCACAAACCCCAATCTAGCAAAGATAGGGGCCTCAAAAAATAGAATAGGGTCTTGGGGCCCAGTATACTATAATTACAATAAGGAACCCCAAAACAATACAGGTATTATCAATGCCCCTGTTTTACACCGGCTTCTGGAACGAATGGCACAGCCCGTACTTGACGAAGTTTTCAGTGCATCTTCGAGCTTCAGCCAGTATCTAACCGCAAACCTTTTCTGAGCAGGGACTGCAGCGCACATTGCCCTGATCCTTCAGCTGCCGAACCCCAAAAGACCCAAACCCAAAAATGCTAAGTCCGAAGGTATCAAGCAGCTCCAATTTGATCGGCTTTGCGAAGGTGGCTGAGACCAGGTCCTCAGGTTCGATGGCAAAACATGTAGGTACCAATCCTAATGCCTACTAGTACAAGCACGACCAAGAAAGACTGCTTTCTCAGGGTGTTTCTTTGATCAGGTTGCATTTAGAAGAGACTTTAAAGCTTGGTGGCTGGGAGTTCAATTCAAAAGTTACGGTTTGTTCTGGCATCACTTCATGGTGGGCGACTTCACGAACAAAGAACCCTGATGTAGACTCTCGATATAGAAAATAAGCAACATAATGAATGTCTGGTGCCCTAAACAAAGGAGGTTTGTTAAGTCATAGTCCCTTGCCCACAACAACACAAGGCTTCATTCAACCTGCGCCCCTCGTGTGCCGGCCAGGCTCGGCCGCCTCCTGCCCTAACCGCATGGCCTCAGCGATATTGTCGACACCAAATTTCACCATGACCTCAGATTAGCGACTTGAAGGCTTTGCTTCTAGTACTTACTTTAATATGGGCTTTTTATGGGGGGGGGCGCTGTAACCTGCTACTGCCGCAAGTAGCATGAGTGGCTTATGGGGCAGTATTACTTACTCGGGTGTTTATTACTAGTGTGACTAGTGTTAGTATTATCATTGAAGTATATGTACATAGGCATTGCTACTGTTCAGGCCTCTATATGTAGGCTTTAGGGCCTAAACTTTAGGGCACAGCCAGTTGAGATCAAATTCCTGCTTGTGTGGTTTAGTTTTTGTTGATCTAGGATCTACTTCTGTGGAAGTTACGAGCTTCTAGGCCTTATTGGGCCTGAGGGTCTCTGGGTTCCGTCGTCTTCGACTAGGAGCCTGGGTCTTCACTTTGAGAGGCTGAAGCTACATCACCGCCTCGCTGTTATCTTTCCTGCACGAAGCCCGCCCAACACAAACCGAAGTCCTCTCCAACCTTTAACCTGGACGAACGAGATGCGAGGTTTCTGAACCGGATAGACTGCCCAAATAGCATGAAGTTCCAGCATACACGCTCCAAATCACATTATCGATATCAAACCCCCTGGAGGTATGTAGGATGAAGTCGCTGCAGCCATGTTTAATTACTATCGGCCCAGGGGGCGGAGTCTGTGTCTCCGTAGATGACTTCTGCGTCATGCGCGTAGCCCTTCTCGATGCAGAAGTTCTCCTGATGGGTTCCCATGGATGCTGTTTAGGCCTATTTCAGCGGCCTCTATTCTTGCCTACAAGTTTTCTCCAACTTATTGAGAACCTGCGCATGCAATGCAGCAGAAGCGTGCCGATGATCTGAAAAAGGCCGGGTGTCAGAACAAAACCGACATCCTCACGCCCTCAGGAAGCCCTGAAATGCACTCTTATAGCAAATATGGGAGGCAACCGTGGAAGCTAGATCCTGAATCAGATCCGCACCATGCCCGAAGCTTTCAAAAGCCGCACAACCACAGTCCAAAGACCTCACGAGGCACCCAAACCCAAAAGCTCTGAATCCCACATCATTTCCATCCAAAGCCCGAAACCTAACCTTCAACCTTTCTTGACCTCTTCGAACCCACACCCTAATCCAAACCTTCAACCACCCGAAATCCGAAGCCGCGCCTGAACCATCTGCTTGGTATGGTCGATCATCGTTCGCCCAAATGCTGTGACCTGGGCCAGGAAACGCCCGCACATTGATCGGCACATTCTTGACCGACCCATTCGTGGTTGAAAACATGTGGGAAAATCTAGGTTGAGAGTTGCAGATCTGCGTTTCGGGTTCCACCTCTTAATCAAGTATGTAATAGTCAGGGGTACAGGGCTCTCCTTTGCGAGTCTTCTTCTGTGAGCTCTTTCGTTGGTCTCAACGTCGATTGTCGTGCTTCCAGGTTTCTCTGGAAAGGTTGTCAAGGGCTTTTCGGGACCAGCTGCTACAGTACAGCACGAAGTGTGGCACTCCGGTAAATATATAGATAGAAAGATAGATCGACAAATAGGCCAGGTAGATCAGGCAGAAAGATAGGAAAAGCCGAACGACAGAAAGTAGAAAGATGGAACGAGAGGGCGATGGATGGATTAATGGATTGATAGTTGGATGCCTGGATGGAGGGGTGGTTGGATGGACACATGGATAGAAAGATAGCCAGATAAACAAACACACAAAGATCGGCCGATAGAAATATAAAGATTGATGGATGGATGGACGAATGGACGGAAGGGCATGGATGCCCGTTGTTTCACATGTGTCTCCGGGCCTCCTTGCATGTTAAAGCAGCATGGGCGTTGCTTACATCCAGAATATGATGTACCTCAGCACCCACTCTTGCGGGCTGGGAGGACTCCAGAAAATGGGACCCGAAAAATGCGTAACCTTAAGTGGGCTATTAAGGGGATAGACTACTGACCACTGAGACCTCTCAACTACCTGAACCAAGACGCTGGAGGCTATATAGCCCCACAACTTCTGCTGAGCAGCGGAGGAGGAGATGTCTAGGCAGGGCAGCACGCCCACAGTGGCGCCTTCGATAATGAAGCTGAGAAATCCTATTCGTGATGGTAATAACCATGACATAGCCATCGCTATAGCAAAAATATTTCGGCATAGGCGTAGGCGGGGTACAGGCTTGGCCTCGGTGTTTGACAGGATTAGCTTGCTCGTCGGCCTCCTGGGCTTGATAAAGCCTTCAATGGCGTCTTGAGAAGATGTGTCATCATGTTTGGCGGTGTCTTTGCGTGTTGGTGTTGGCCACTCATCCATCGTGAAGCAGTCGCATTGCAGGACATGGGGTCCTGTTCGGACGACGGAAGGTAAAGGGTGAAAGATAACCATGTGCTGAGACAAGACATGAACAAACTGTCTGAAACTCCCCTCTCCAGCATGCCACAGAATCTAGAACACCCTCATCGTGAGAAATTTCTTCAAGACCTTGAGGACAGAAAAGCACCCCTTGAAACAGCCTCCGAAGCCATCCAAAACTCTAAACCCTCGCCTGCCTGTGAAGCCGTAAACTGAGTTCGCCGAGATCTTCAGCGCCAGCCTCGGAAAAAAAAAAAAACAAGGTTTCCTGATAGGTTTGTAAGGTGTTCACATGGCCTTTATCAGGCTTCATGTGTGCGAATTAAAGGTTGTATACCACTGGATCCTGGACATTTTAGCACTCGCACTCGGCATAGCAGGCGAGGTTGGGGGTGAACCGGTTTCTGGGAGGTGACGGGCGCATTAGCCCGGCAGACATTAACACAACTCTACTACAACTCCGACTACCACTTCGCTCGACTCTGTCACATCGTCTTCCATACACTTCCACACCTGCTTCACTGGGATAAACCTGTACCACCCTAAAGGTGAACCGTGGATGAATGGAAAAATGAACACCCTAGGGCATATATCCCGATTAATGAATATGGTAGTAATTGCAATCACGGGATTCTGAGAAGAGTGATAAGGGCTCTACATTCTACATTCACATCCCCTTTTCCCTTCTTTCTATGACCTCGACGGAAGTCGCCGGCCGCCGGGCCCATTCAACACTTCAACACCAGTAGATACGAAAAACTGCTACCAAAACTGCAGCCATACTCTGTGAAGGCATCCGGGTCCTTAACCTGGAGGGCAATCCTTTGCGTAGAACAATCGCTGACTGGGCTTGGGGAATGCACCTCTGCACCCGGTGCACTGCACCCGTACCGGGTGAAGGCTACACATTACACGCTAGCTGAAACCATGAGACGCATTGTCCTCTCATTCGCAACGTACCCCAAGCCAGACCCCACAGAAATCCACAAGAAGTCCTTCCCAACTTCCTGGGATGAAAACCTAAACCGAACCCCAACCAAAACGGCCCCAAATAGTAAATCCCTGGAGCCCTAAGTACACCCCATGACCAACCGAGAGTCAAACTCAACCCTGCAACAGCCCAAAGCCTGCACCAAACCAAGAACCCAGACCCAGAAAGCTCTTCCGAACCACCAACCCCAAGTACACCTTACTGAATCCTACAAAGTATACCTTACTGAATCCTACAAAGTACACCTTACCGAAACCTGAAGTTCCGACTCTCTGAGCTCGGCGCTGTCGGCCGTTGAGAACGGATTTCGTGAGGGGATCTGTGGCTTCGGCCATGGCCTCGCGGAAATTCTATATTGGGTTTAGGGTTTCGGCGCTCACACTCGGACAATCCAGGCGAGGCATATGGTTCGGAGTCTGACAATGTTGGGTTTAGGGTTTAGGGTATAGGGTGTTGGTGGGTTTTGTAAAGGTCTCGAGCGGTTTTGCAACCGCTGCCGGTCACAAAGGGATGGGAGGTGCCATAAAATCAACTCTGCGGCGACAAAGATCGGCTTATCGTTTTTTCGCCATGTCTGTCAAGAGCGGTTGAGATCAAATGCCGCAGCCAGCCGTTCACCTGCTCCGAGGAAGAAGTCGAGCTGCTAAGCAAGTTTCTCCCTGTAAACAGCCCTCTTGGGAGGAGACCAGGGCGGGTACAGAGACAGTGCAGAGCCCAGAAGGTCTATCTGAGCCAATGTGGAAACGGGAATCAGGAAGGTGCCTTGCAGCTCAATGTCTTCATGCAAGATGCAGGCGACTAGCAAGTCAAACTCGGCCTAGCATAAGCAAGTTGTCCTAGTGAACCTCCGTGCGTGGACAGCTTTATCCTGTACCTGCGGAGTTTCCTTTCCAAGTGCGATGTTTACTCTTGCAGTCGCACCACCGGGCCCCCAACGCCAATCTCAAGCAAGGAGTCAACGGTCGTCCCAGGTTCATGAGGAGAAGTCAAGCTGTAGTTCAGGCAACGAAACAAACTCCGGAGCTGCCCCCCCATGAACAATCGGGCGCACTGACGCTCTGCCTCTTCAACTGCAAACCAGTGTCTTCAACACGGCGACTATAGTCACTTTCACACAAGACAGTTCTGCATACCTTATCGACCTTCAGTTGCTCAACGGCCTCCACCGACTTGTTGCTGCCTTGAGCTGAACCGGACAACCAACTTGTGACGAACCGCGCTGCTTGAACAGAGCATCTGCTTTGGAAGACAAGCCTGATTGCAAGAGCAGTAGGGTGCGGCAGGTTGCCGGGCATGATGCTCCACCAAGACCGAGCAAAACCACAAAACGTGTCGCGCAGTCTGGTGTCCAAGGAGACACCGAGGCCAATTGAAAACTCTGGCCCTTTGTCGTTGCAGGGCTGCCTGGCTGCCTCAAGGATAAATCCGACACCGTGGCGGAAACCCCAAAGTTGAAGCTTCCTGAACATGACTTCGGACACGAAGGCCGCAGCATGTTCAGGTCATTTTTTTCGTGCGACCGACCCGATATATCTAAACCAACGTTTCCGTTTTCGGGCATGATGTATGTGCGTGTGTATACATATAGGTGTGTACATATGCATGTGTAACTATGTATGTATACAGAAAGATATACAAATGGAAAGATAAAAAGATAGATGATCGACAGAGAAATGGATAGAGCCGGATGGATGGATGGAGTAGCGAAGCGGCTGGATGCAAACGATTTGGAAAGGGATTGTGGCGGGAACTCAATGGCGGATGCCACATCCCCCAAGAATTCGCTCCTCATAATGGCGGCTTCAAGCTCATACTTCAGTCTAGCAAAACAAGGGCGCACCCTTCGAAACCATGGTGTAGTACTAATAAAATTAAGAACAGAAACAATGAGGGCATTAATCATAATGCCACACTCATCTGAGTCATAATTCGTAAGATCATAATAGAGACACAGCTTAAAGGGGCAGGGTTTGGGGATCCTGGGGCGTTCGCAGACATGCCTACAGCCTAAACTGCTCAAGCTGACGACTTTCAGTTGGAGTTTTGGGTCTGAACACCGGAAGCCCATCGCATCTCCGGCCTTCTTCGCACGCTTGCGCGCTGCCAGAAGCTCCTGCAAGAGTTGTGAACAAGAATGTGTCTATGTATATGTGTATATATATAGAGAGAGAGAGAGAGAACGAGAGAGAGAGAGAGAGAGAGTTGTGTATAGATATATATTAGTATACATATTCTTATTTGATTCTACGCGAATGTACATTTGTAATGCTGCCACAGAAATGCTTAATCATCGTCATCGCTATCATCATGACATACTAGCAGCACTTTTCCTTGTTGCTGTCACGACCAGAGCTAGAGGACACTGAAACGCTGGTCTAAGAAAAACCAATTCGGGTTGGATGACGGCAAGACTGCTCAAGTAGTGGAACTACAGTGAGCCCAGGGAGCGTCGGCGTCGGAAAACCGACGCTCCAATGCCTATAGGCATGCAGTGTCTAGAGTCTACAGACTGTTGCTCATCAAGTTCATTTTGTTTTCACAAGAAAATCAGACATGTCGATAACAAAGGCTGCATATTCAAGCACAGCTGCGCGGATTGGATGCACTTCAAACAGTCCAAAGTCCAAGCCCCAGGCCTCTTTTCCTGAATCCTTTCGAATCTCAACCCCCCCCATCGAGCCGGAGACTGAGAAACAAAACTGAGCTTCACAAGACTCCGTCCTCCGTGCATGCTCCCAGACTATAGTTGAACCGCTTTATTTTTGAAAACTTCCCAGTGAGCCTCCAAGATCATCGGGAGGAGCCCTCTTCGGCGAGAGCTCTTGAGGAAGTAGCCTGGTGAAGCTCAAGGTTCACTTCGGATGTCTCCGGACTACCTGCTTGAGACTTTTGAACAACTCGTCGAGGTTTATGCGCGGGCTTTCGAAAACGAAGGGCTGAGGGTCTTAACGGCTTAGCGCTTGGCGTAGCGCACCAAGAAGTACCGAAAGCTTTCCTAAACGCCGTCAGTGTTGTGCCCTTGGATCGTCGACGGGATGACAGGGATCCCGAAACTCGAAATCTCACACCCTTTGCGGCTGCCCTTCTGCCCCCTCAGAACCCACACCCCAGCTGTTCAACAGAAGCTGAAGCTCAGACTAACTGCTTCATGTGTCGGTGTGTGCGCCTTTCTGTCCTTTCGTTGTTTGGGTTTCCCGTTCGCTCTCGCTCCCCTCTCTCTGTACCCTCAACCCTATCATTACCCAAAGCCGTTCAGGAGCAAAGGTCCGGGTAAGTGTCAGATTTTGGACCAGGGAGCCGGGGTGGGGGTTCGGCTTTCGGCTCTTTGTTTGCCTCCTCGTTCAGCTTTGAGGGGTTTTCGTTTGAAGGTGGAAGAGTTAGGGTTCAGCAATGCCCAAGCGTAGACTTCTATGAACATGCTCGCAACACATTGTAGCTGATCTGCAGGCAGGTGTCAGCCGTTGGGGGTCTTGGTATACTCCTCCGGCTGAAGATCTCGGACCTCGGCTCAACAAGGTCCAACTCAGAAAGTTCGTGGGTTACGGGCCCGGCACCCCTGGTAATGCGAAAGGAAGGAAAGGTCGAATCCAAGACCCTGATACCCGAAGCCCTAACCTCAAGGGCCCTATAAAGCCATCAGCCGGATCTAAATCTAAGGCTGAAAGCAAGGGACCTTGGAGGGTTCAGGTCTGGACATCAAGGTGGTTGCGTGCGGGCCTCGGGGCTTAGATGTTGGAATAGATTAAGAACTCTTTCGACCATCTGCTTAGCTGCAATATAGCCTGTAAAAGGCAAAGAGATTATGTCGCAGACTCATGCTTCCAGTCCAGGTCTGCGGCCCTGCAATTCTTCGGTGTGTTGACTCGTGGCTAAGGGTGCCCCTTACCTGATATGGGAGAGACCTGAAACCGACCACTCTAGCAGGCACCGCCAAAGCAAAGAAGAAACAAAACAAGACACCAAATCCACAGCCCCAAAACGCCGGAAACCTTAATTTGGTATGAACCGCGCCTGCTCGGGCTTCAGGAGCGTGCAGTAGCAAAGGTTGTGTGCCATCATGATTGAAGGATACCTGGGCGTTTGAAGCTTATAGGTTTAGGGTGTGTTCTCACGTTGGAGGGCTGTTTACTGGTACGTAACGGTACAGGGGAAGAAAACACCGAGAGCGGAGGTCCTCCCTTTGTGCCAGCAAAAGCTTTTAAGGCTTACGGGCCAGGTTGACGAGCTCGATGGGTTGTAGACTTGAGGTTTGAGGCCAGCTCTGTCGGCAGCTTGCAGTCGAGGGACTTGGGTTGAGGGTGCTTTGCATAATTTGCAGGATGCAAGGTGAGTTTATGCCCTTCTGGTTCAATTGTGGGATTGCAGCTTTAGCATGCTTAAGCCAAGTATGGTCCCAGCCTTTGTTTCCTCGTTGTGACTTGAGCTCGAAGCTGATCGCTGACAGCTTAGACGAGGTGATGGTGATGGCTTCAAATCCCTAGGCCCTAGGCCCGAAAATACCAAAAAAACCTCACACAAGTCCTGGGATATCCCGATAAGGCCGTCCTGTCTGATCAAGGATCCCCGGACAGAACATCGACCCTATCACCCAAAACCTGCTCTCTTAGCCCCGAAGCCTAACCCCTATGGCCTTACTAAGGGATCGCAACTTCATTACATTAGCCTTGACACGCCCCAGCACTGAAGTCTCGAGCTGTCACATTGAGCCAAAGCCGCAGGGACGCGAAGTCCAGTGTCGCGATGGGCTGGGGGTAGAATCCTGTCGCCACATTCGGGTTTATCACGAGAGCACCATGGCACAGGGAAATCATAACCCTACCCAGACTCGACTGCACATGACGAATGTATGTGTTATCAGGACCCCGCCTTAAGTATTCGTGCCTGAGATAACCTTGCTGAGTTCGGTGGTAACATTTAGGGGAGTCTGGACTTCGGATACCATTCTGAAACCGAAAACCCTCAACCGACGCCCAAACACGCAAAACTCCATTCGACTCCCCACAATCAAGATCAGACGCCTGTGCGTGGCTCGAGCACCGTCGCACCGTCGAATTTGCCATCGGCAGCCTCCGTTTTCCTGAGTTACAAGAATATGACACGGAATGTGCGGTTTAATGCTTCTTTTGTTGAAAAACCTATTTCTCCGAGTGGTCTGGAGTTCCCGGGTTAGGATTTACAGGCTCTACACTTGGGCCTGAAATTTCACGGTCTGAGGCCTTCCTGCCGGTTTTGGAGACTGCTTGCATCCATGGGGTCATTGTGGACCCAAATGCCGATTAAAGGGGACGCGCACTCAGCCCCCAAAACGGCTGCAGCCTCCCAACCCCATCGCGACACCCCAAAGCGATCAGGAGCCTAAAGGAAAACACACCTAGGCCACCAAAACACCTCAACTGAAAGTTGCGCACTTCGTCTGACAAATCCCACCCTAAAACGCTCCCGGCCGTGGTTTTTTTGACACTCACTCTCGGACAAGCCTGGCAAGGTCTGCAGAAGTAGGTTCGACGTGTCGCATTAACCCCGTAAGCCGGTTCACTTACAGGTCAGCTGTCAGACACAACCCCAGAGACGCCAACACCAAGCTATCCAAGCATAACAATGCGGGTTCCAACTGACAGCAGACTCCCAGACTCCGGAGCCGTGGTTTAGGGTAGTGGCTTCGGGTTGAAACGGATCTCTACGGACTTTGGGGGCTTCCGGGGGCGGGTTCTGGGCTGAGGCTAGGGACGAAACTCGACATGCCTTAAAGATATACCTTAGCCCTAAATCTCCCTAATGCAGACACTCCTTGAAAAATCACTGAACACCAACCATTACAGACCTGAGCATTTTACAGTTGAATCCTCAATCTTGCCTCCCCTCGGTCTTTAATCTTCCCTGGATCATTGCTGGATCGTTTGCCTAGTTCTCATGCATAATGCGTCCCCAGCGTGTAAGCTTGTGTTCTCTGACTCATCAGTCCTTCATACTTGGTCCCCCCGCACCCGAAACGGCACAGTATATCCTACATGCGAAACCGTTTCAGCAAGGCATCTGCGTCGGCATCAAGAAGCCACACTGCCCCGCCTTGCGAAGGAGCTGTGACCTGGGACTTCACTCCAGCCTTTAAAAATTTAGGCTTCTTTTTGTGGGCTCTTTTCCAACTGCAAGTTTCGGCGCTCACACTCGGACAATCCGGGCTGGGCATATGGTTCGAGGCCTGCTAACGTGGTGCAAAGCTGCACTATCGAGAGCAATATGGCAAAGGGTTTAGGGTTTCGGTTTCAGCTCGGCCTACTTGTAGTCCAGGCCCCGGGTTTGGTGGTGAAGTTAAGCAGTGAAGAGTATGTAGAACCGAGTCGCGGGAGAGATCTACGCAGATCACAAACTGGGAGGACGAAGGAATCATGGAGAGGCCATAAATAATTGTTATAGTAGGGTTTTGGGCTTTTCTTTCGGGCAACCCGATTTGATGCAGGCCCCTTTATTAAATCATAGCACCAGCTGCTCCAAACCCTATACAAGGTGGCACTTCCCTTCACAAAACCGCAAGAAGCAAAGCTGAGCATGAAGGCCCCGAAAACAACAGTATGTGGCCGTGAAACACCAGGAAACCGTCCTAACCCAATCTCCTCCCACTCAGATTCGGCCAGAAATCTGGACTTTAATCATCTGCCCCCGGTTCAGCAGGAAGTTGATCGGCGTGCCCGTCACACGAGCCATCTCGACGTAGTTGTACCTGAGCGGCTGGGAGTCTTGATAGGGCTGAAGGGCTGACGGCCAAAATGATCCAACACGGTTTTGCAAACCATGAACATGAACCCTGAACCCTCTAAACCGGAAAGGTTGAACGGCAAACCGAACCTTACACCACTCACCTGCTGCCTGGGCGACCTGCAGTCTATTCGCCCAAGAGGGCATGTAAGAACTTCAGAAAGCAACGGACCCAAACAAACACCCTCTATGCAGATCTAAATAGAAGGACCCTGAAGCAAGGTATCTTGCCTCTGTCCGAAACTTCCATGTGCTACATTACCCGAGACAACCTGAAGCTGGCGCAGGAGAGACGTGCCCAGGGACATGCATAGGAGCTTGTCCATAAGGCGCATGGGCAAATATGCATCCTCGACGGATTTGGGCAAGCCGATCCTCCTCATCGTCCTCCTACTCCTCCTCCTCCTACTACCACTACTACTGCTGCTCGACTACGACGACGACGACGACGACTACTACTACTACTGCTGCTGCTGCTGCTGCTGATACTACTACTACTACTACTACTACTACTACTACTACTACTACTACTACTACTACTACTACTACTACTACCACCAACACCGCCACCACTGCTAGTATCACTACGACTACTACGACTACGACTACTACTGCTGCTGCTGCTGCTACTACTACTACTACTACTACTACTACTACTACTCCTACTCCTACTCCTCCTGCTGCTGCTGCCACCACTACTACTACTACTAATCCCAGGGTCGCATTATTAAATGGGTCACATTTAAAGAAACTTTTTGGGGGCCTGTAGGGTCCGGAAGAGGAGTTTCCATTGCGAAGGCGTTTGTAGGCTTTGCGACCTCTAAAACGGGTTCACATTTAAAGAAACTTTTCTGGAAAGCCTAGGTTTGGCAGTAATGTAGTAAAAGATTGGCCTCTACTAAGGCTGTAGCTGCAGTAGAGTAGTAAAGACCGGGCCTCTACTAAGGCTGTAGCTGCAGTACAGTAGTCAAAACTGGGCCTCTACTAAGGCTGTAGCTGCAGTAAAGCAGTAAAAGCTGCGCCTTAGTACGCCTCTACTAAGGCTGTAGCTGCAGTAGAGTAGTAAAGACCGGGCCTCTACTAAGGCTGTAGCTGCAGTACAGTAGTCAAAACTGGGCCTCTACTAAGGCTGTAGCTGCAGTAAAACAGTAAAAACTGGGCCTCTACAAGGCTGTAGCTGCAGTAAAGTAATAAAGACTGGGCTCTGAGGCCAGATTTATGAAAGGGTTCGCATTAATGAAAACAATTCCCGGGCCGATTCCTTGATTAGAAGCAATGCTGTCCATGAGTCCTTGCTGCTTCATGAAAAAGAGTTCCCCTTGCAGTTGGATTCCAAAGCTTTGCTTTTCCAGAAATCTTAAGCAGGCCAAAAGAGTGGATTCCTTATTGGATTGCTTATTCAAGAAGGCATATTTTCATTCCTTCCTGAGCTACCCCTTACAATGGCCCTCCCCAGGACTCCGGGCCAGATTTATGAAAGGGTTCACATTAATGAAAAAAATCCCGGGCCGATTCCTGGATTAGAAGCAATGCTGTCCATGAGTCCTTGCTGCTTCATGAAAAAGAGTTCCCCTTGCACTTGGATTCCAAAGCTTTGCTTTTCCAGAATCTTAAGCAGGCCAAAAGAGTGGATTCCTTATTGGCTTGCTTATTCAAGAAAGCATATTTTCATTGCTTCCTGAGCTGCCCTTTACAATGGCCCTCCCCAGCACTCCGGGCCAGATTTATGAAAGGGTTCACATTAATGAAAACGAATCCTGCGCCGAATCATGGATTAGAAGCAATGCTGTCCATGGGTCCTTGCTGCTTCATGAAAAGGAGTTTCCTTGCAGTTGGATTCCAAAGCTTTGCTTTTCCGGAAGTCTTAAGCAAGCCAAAAGAGTGGACTCCTTATTGGCTTGCTTAGTCAAGAAAGCATATTTTCATTGCTTCCTGAGCTACCCCTTACAATGGCCCTCCCCAGCACTCCGGGCCAGATTTATGAAAGGGTTCACATTAATGAAAAAAATCCCGGGCCGACTCCTTGATTAGAAGCAATGCTGTCCATGAGTCCTTGCTGCTTCATGAAAAGGAGTTTCCCATGCAGTTCTAAGCAGCCTAGCGCTCAAACCCTCAGACTCTGGCCTCTTCCTCTTGGAGCACTTCACAGCCCTCTCTGCTCTTTGCTCCATGCTGTCACTGTCTGCATGTTGTGCCCTCGCAAGAGCCAAATCACTGCATCAGCTCTTCTCTTCACAGCCCGCCCCCCAATCCCCCAATCATTCTATTAATGCGACCCCCCACTGTCCATTATTGTGACCGCCCTAATCCCTGCACCCGCTGGGGGGCGGGGGGAGCCCCCCCCCCTATTATTGCGACCCTGGGATTACTACTACTACCACTACTACCACCACTACTGTTTGCTGTACTCGAGTACTTTGAGTCCGCGTTGGAATACTACGACCACTACGCTACTACGACTACGACGACGACGACTACTGCTACTGCTACTGCTACTGCTACTGCTACTGCTACTGCTACTGCTACTGCTACTGCTACTGCTACTGCTACTGCTACTACTACTACAGTACCACGAGGAAGGCGACGGCGACCACGATCACCACCACCGCAACTACCCTCTACCACGCACGACGTTCATGGCGGTGTTCTTGTCATTCTGGTCACACTATTTACTAGTCAACGCTCGCTTCCCACCATAGTGGCTGACTGCTCTACGTGCACAACAGCTGCTTTCTATGACTATCCATCGTACGGTGTGCATAACTAGCTTCCACTCTATTGCCTCGAAGGTTTCTTTTATCATCCCGTCTTGCATTCGCGACTTCAGCTAGAACCCCGGCTCTTAGCCTGGAGCTTTGGAAAGGTTTTGGAGTGATTCTATTGAGTACCCACCTCTTTCCCCCACATGCATACAGCACCTTTGCAGGGGCAAGGAAGCAGGATTGTAGAAGCATTGGAGGAAGTAGGGCCATGCTGCGAATGCTAGTTACGTCATACAGTGTCTTCATCAGGACGACAAGTCTGAGGCCCTGCAGCGTCCTTCAAGCAGTAGACGGCCAAACGTCGCCGGCTTTCAGCACTGCCCAGGAAGAGGTCGCCGATCATGCTATGGTGCACATCCTGCTAGGGAGTGGAGTTTCGACCGTCGCACTCGCACCAGAAGTCGTGTCCACAAGGTCTCCGCGATTGTGTTTTAGGTTTTAAGATCGAGGCTTTTGGGCTTGAGGTTTCAGGAACAAGGTTTAGGGATTTGTTGGGGCTTGGGCCTCAAGATTTAGATTGGAAGGCCTTCTTTCAATGCACTGTGCGCAGTGCAAGAAAGTCTCCCGGTACAATGGGGCCACAGTGTCCCACCTTGGCATCATTCACTTCGATTCCCTACATACCGGACCTTAGCGTCGCAGGACTCATTAGTCAACTCACTGGCCAGTTGATGGTGGCACCGCTCTCGGACTCTCCAGGCGAGCTGATTCTAGGGTTGCCACAGCCTCAGGCCGCATCACGCAGCGTCTAAACCGAAACCGCCGAGTATTGACGCGACGAAGCACAGAAACTGTGTATCACACAGTCAGGTCGGGCAACCTGCTCCTTAACACCTGGACTTGATGGTGATGGATGCCAGCACCCACCGAGCGCGGGACCGAGGACTCTGCCCAGGCACCAGCACAGCAGGCTCAGAAAAAGCTTTGCAACTGAAGCCACGTCCAATTCCTCTCCTCAACCGTAAACTGTGCACCCTTTTTTCTGCATCGGGCCTTTACCACCGCCCTAAACCCGAAGCCTTAGACCCTGGACCCTAAACCCCAATAACCCTTTAAGTGACAACCCCAAGCCCCAGTGCATACTGTGCCTGAACTTTCGCAGCCATCGACCGCCGAGCTCGCACGGCCCCTCGGCCCTAGAGCTTCAACCCTCATCCCCACCTGAAACCCCAGGCCCAGCAAACTCCAACCTCTTAGATTCTGGGCTCTTAAAGGAAGCTTGAACTAAGTGAAGTTACCGTGGTAAGGAATGTACCATACTGTTCACTATAGAGCCCGAATATGTGAACTTACACCAAACCTTTGACAAGAACTCAGCAGATTCCTCCTTCTGCTCCCCCAAGAACTCGGCGGAGACGGCATTTAGCGAGTAAGAGCTCAGCTTCTGTTCCTGCACACACGCATCTGGTTCAAAAGCACCTAGCATCATCAAGACTTTGTTGCACAATGAAAGAACCGGTCAACCTCTATGCATATATAAATGAGTGTGTATATATATATATATGTACATTGTTTGTTATCTATATACGTTGTCTATATGTACATTAAACCATGTTGTATACGCATGTGTATGTGTGTGTATATATATATATATATATGTGTGTGTGTGTGCGCTTTGTATGTGGTAACCCCCCATGAACAACCGATGCTGGCTTTGTATCGTAAATACCGTATCAAACCAGCTTTTCCGGCAGGTTCGGATGCTGTATCTCTCGAAGACTGCGTACCGAAATCGAAGTCACATTTCAAGAAAACATGTCAGTCAACTCTTTTTCTGTATCTCTCAAAGACTACCGAAATAAAACTCACATTTCAAGAGAACGTGTCAGTCAACTCGTTCAGGTTCGACGAGAACAGGTCGTCAACGGCAACACTGTGTGTGCCCTTCCAATCAACAACCAACTTTTCTTAGGGAAAACTAAAAAAACAACAAAAAGAAACAGCCATCTTTTGGGACACTCTGCGGCCAGACTTCAAAAAGATTGTTTTTTGGTTTTCCCTTGGAAAAGGATGGTTCTCGCGTGAGGGGCTTGCTTTTCCCGGGTTTTGTTTTTCACGCCAAATCCAACTTTTCCTTAGGAAATAAATCTTTTGGTGCCGAAAAACCAACTGTTTCCTTGCGAAAACATTGTTTTTCTGTAGAAAAGCCAACTTTCTCCTAGCAACAAAATTGTTTTGGGCCGAAAAACATCCGTTTTCCTAGCAAAAAAATGGTTTTGTACAGAAAACAAACCTTTTCCTAGCAAAAAAAATGTTGCACCGAAAACCCAACCTTTTCCTCAGGAAAAAGATGGTTTCGGATCGAAAAAACAACTTTTTCACAGAGAAACCCCAAAAAACATCTTTTTTGGAGTCTGGCCATATAGTTGCCCAAAGATTGTTGTCATTGTTTTTTTTTGGTTTTCACCCAAAAATTCTGTTTCCTAGGAAAAAGTTTGTTCTCCATGCCAAAACCATCTTCATCCTCGGAAAACTTGGTATTTCACTCCAAGACCGCTTTTTTCCGTAGCAAAGAGTGTGAATTTATTTCATTTGTTGTCTGTGGGCGTGGCGAATTAGTGTTGCCAATAAGGTTCCAATGTCATCACTACTGGGGTTCAATTCCGCTTAGCATTAGTACTACACAATGGACTGGGTAATTATTCGGACCAGTTTAGGAGTCAACAGAAACGTAGTATTGCAAGTTTAACACAAACCAACACGTTGGATTTCAGGGTTCTCACAGCTACCACTACGATTTCTTCCAGCTGACCGTGGTTGCAAATTCGAAAGAGAAACATTGGGGTCTGATTATGGGTGGTACAAACGCTACTATAGATGACCTTGGGGTTGCTGCTTGGGCGAATGTTACGTTCACCATTGACATAACTGCGATGACATGGATAGGGTTGGGGTTGATGTTGCTTGGAATCAGGAGTCAGTTGACGACCCCCGTCATTATGTTGGTATATAGTACACGTTTCACATCGTTTAACCTTAGAGTCTTATAGTTGGCATGTGCACACACACATCATAAATATGTGTACATACACGCATACTGGCAAGTCCGGCAGCAAGTCCGACATGATCATATAGTACAGCGAGAAGGGCGTACCATAGACAATATACGTGTTGATGTGAACAAACTATTTGATATATCCCAAAAGAATCTAAAGGCCATCACTCGGGCAACGCCAGAGCGAAAACAGCAAGGATCGTGGTTCTCAGTAGAGTTCGTTTTGTGTGTTTAACATCAGCATGAATATGACGTCTACTCTTGAAGTAAAGTCTTGGGCAGTATTTAGCTGATATGTATGAATATAACAGGAACTCGTATTGGGATGCCATGAATTTAAACTTTGGGGTCGAGAATGCTCATGTTAGGGATACCACAGCTACATCTGCATTGATTAACCTGTTGGTGGGGCCAATGGCCTGGGTTTCTCCTAAGGCCATTATTTGGGTTGCTGTTGCGGGAAGTATCCAGTACAGTACGAAAGCTACCAATGGGAACAACTTATGGGTGATTTCATGGGCGATCTCAAGTTTGCGAAAAAGGTATTTTGGAGTCAAATCTGATCCAGCGCTGGGGTTGTCAACGGGACTGCAATATCCTTACTATCGGGGGCCAATGAGGCTGAAGTATACTATTGTCTTAACCTTCACGTCGATATGGTAATTAATATGGGGATGTACATAATGTTGTTATTAGACGTTGATCTATAAGGCATATTATCCGGGCGAACGTGAAACAGAGCACTACTGTCACAATTGGGGCCAATGTAAGGTCTAGTGGCAGGATTAGCCATGAGGATACTGTTGTTTAGTCAATCAAGGCTCACGCTCATTCATACGTATTGCTGGGGCTTTGATCTGAGACTACAGTGAAGGCTGTCTTGGGAGTTAATACTCGGGCCCATATTGATCTTCGGGTATTCAGACAGAAGCTTTCAGCGTTAATCATCTTTCGGGGTGTCTGCGTGAAGGGTCGCAAGGAATTGAGAATGAAGGCGGCTGCCGTCATACATATGCTGTTCTCTCGGGACTTCAAAACTGCATCATACACCAGAAGCCTAAAAGTAGGGGAATTGGTGGCGGTATCGCGGCACCTCGCGGTAGTTCATGGCCGGGGAGGGGGGTGCATATATGGTACCATATATATATATATATATATGTGTGTGTGTATGTCTGTATGTATATATATATATATATACATACATACATATATATATATGTATATACGTGTATATGTGTATATATATATATATATATATATATATGTATGAATGAATGTCCGTGCATGCGGTTGTGTGCGTGCACGCATGCATGTATGTATGCATGCATGCATGAATGCATGCACTTCCGCATGCAGCCATACCACTCCACCCATGCATACGTGCATCATGCACTACGCATTTCAA